AGTGTTGACATGGTATGGTAGGCCCTGCATATTTGAAGTAGCTGCTGTCTCTGAATAGAGAGCAGGAATCTTCTCGTGCGAGAGGTAATTTCACCACCACAGATTGCAGCTCCATAAGTGATCACTCTTTACATAGACTTACAATAGAATCTTATTGATTCTATGCCAAATTTTTAGTAGTTTAGGTGAGATACCCCATTTATGTGAAGTCATGCGTCTCATGTGTTTGCTTAGGATGCTAAATCGAGTCTTAAGATTCCTGATACGTGGCATCCAGGAAAGTCTGTTGTCGAGTATTAGCCTACAATATCTCAATTGGGGAAGACATTTTACCGGTATCCCATGAAGTTTCACACTTGGGCTGCATCTAAGCTGCCTGTTGTAACCTATGAGTAAAGCTTTAAGTTTTGTGTGCCGAAATCTGAAGCTCATGTGCTCTGGCCTATTGGGAGAATAGATCGAGACAGTACTGAGATCTCATTTTGAGGTTGCTTCTTACTGCCATATCTAGCATAAAATCATCCACGTAAGCTATAAATACACACACTAGAAACATGGGATTTACAGTGAATAGCTCTCGTAAGATAACCTTGGGCACGCATGGTGATGTATGATGCAAAACTCCAACGATGGGTTCTCAAAGTATTGCAACCTGGCAATAACCTGCATACAAATGCAGAATTCTTCTGAAAAGATGATTTTGCACTATTCATGTATCAGGTATGTTGTTCCATGTCCCAAAGCAGCATACACTAATTCTATATCATTAAAGGTATGTGAAGCAATGGCTGTTTTTAATAGTCAATACATTGCAAATGATGTCATATTGTACATATGGCTGTTCACACATTTTTTAGATGACTTTATACATTTAAAAAGAAAAGTGCCTGCTTGGAAATTGATTTCAACTACAGCTAAATTTTTGAAAGTATAAATTATCTTTTGCTAATGAACAATTTTGTTTTCATGCAAAATGATGTTTTAAAGAAGCAATAGATGGAAGGCCATAATGCTCTTACTGAAGAAAATTATTCGTATTTGGTTATTAAAAAATGCTGTGAAAGCCATGATTTTTGGGTATCTAAAGCAACGACAGATAGTACTGTCAATAAAAAAGGGAAAAAAACACCAAAGTTTGGCTTCAAAGAGAAAAATTGTTCAAAATACATATCCAAGGAAAAAACGGAATTTTTCAAATGTTACAAAGGTAAGAACTTTAATGTTAAAAGAAAATCTGCAAAATCAAAAGGAAAATTGCATAATCATTAAAATGCTCAGTGTCAACTTTAAACAAAGTGATTAATGCTGATTTGAATCTTAAAAAGGTGAAAAAACATAGTGTGCATCATCTTCATGATATATTGCTGAATGCAGTCTGCACTGCAGAACTGTTTATGAGAAACATTTATCTGGACAAAAATGTAAAAATATTGTCACAATAGATGAAACTTGGGTATATTTAAATGACTGCAATAAAAAGAGATCCACTTATTATCATCAAAGAGAAGGAAAAAAACTCAGAAAAATGGTTAAAAGAATCTAAAGAGTTTTTCAAATAGATTTATAGTTGTTGCTGGTTTTTGATATAACGGCAAATAAAAATTAAAAAGAGTGCAGAAAACTCTTAAGGCCAAATCCACATATTATTGGAAACATATTTTATATCCAATTTTCAAATGTGAAATACTGTCTCTTTACACACAGTGTGATCAATCAGTAGAACTGCATCAAGACAAAGTAAGCAGCGACATGACAAAATCTATAGTTAATTTCCTGTAAAAAATGGAACAAGAAATGAGTATCAAGGCCATACCCTTCACTTATATCCCTACTAAATCTTCTGATCTATCACCAATGTATTTTTGCGCTTTTGGACTTTTAAAAATCAAAATGTCGAAATGTAGACCTACAACCCTTCTTGGACTTTGGAAAGCTGTTGAAGAGAGATAGGTTAAAATACCTCTTCCAGTACTACAAAAGGCTGTACCGTCTTTGAAATTACGATGTAGAAAGACAGTGAAAAATAAAAATTATCAAATGGAACATTTATAACCAAAAAATTTTAAGTAAAATATTTCTGTAAATACAATGAAAATCATCTAAAAAATGTGTGAACAGCTTCTGTATATTACTGCTGTGCCATAAATCTTAATTCTAAATTTTCTGTGGAATACCTACGATGCAGAAGTAACAAATATTTTTCTGTTCTTAGTAATTCTTTCTGAAAGCGGAAAATATATGACATCAATGCATGCTGTAAGAAGCTTTTACTTAGTTTAATGCTGACTTCTGCTGAGATTTTTAAGCAGGCAATGAATATTATATCTGCACAACAGGTGGATAGCAATCCAAAATAGTGTACAGTTCTGCTGTCCACTGTTGCATCAATTTTTATTAATGAGTCTTTAAAATAATAATTTGGAAAAAAATTAAATAGAAAAAATGCAAATGTGTGGAGGATATTTAATACACCATATACGTAATATGCACCTGTAATTTTAAACTACATTTTGTAATTTTTAGGTATATTTTCCTTATAACATACACCCTTTTCTCAACAAAGAAACCTAAAATGTACATGTGTGATGTTCTTATTTTTTTAAAGTTATTCATTCATTTGAAGATTTTTCCCAAGCTTTCGAATAATGGTAACTTATAAACCATAAGGAGAACATTATGTTTGTGAGGGAAATGCTTGGAAGAGTAAATAATTCTGCAAACAGGACAGGTTGTATTCAGTGCACAAGATGTTAACATGTAAGATTCAATGTACATTCTTGTACAAGGTGTGTACAAGAACATTATAGTTAGATTTTTGAGAAAGGAGGAGACTATCTGGGGTAAGAACGCACTCTGACCTGAAGGAATTTGTGGAATTAGGAGTCAGACGTTTTCACTTTCTCCATTCATTTAAGGCCATGATTTTGAAGTAAACATCAAAGGCTTTAGTAAATTGCATTTGCTTTCAATGAAATACATTCCTTTGAAAACATTGTTTTGTTTGTTTTGTTTTTGCACTGCGTTTGTTTTGTTTGGCTCCTGCCAAACAAAACAAACGCAGTGCTGGTTTCATATGTGAAGTCATTCAATTTGGGAAGAAAATGGAAATTATGCTGCTGCAAATATCTTCGATGTTGGTTTATAGCTCCATATGCGAGTGGAAGAAAAATGAAATCACAATAATTAATATACCAAATATTAAATGTGCTTTGCTTAAAGGAATATTGAAATGTCCTTTCCTGAAAGAAATGTTGCAAACTTGATCCTAGAAAATTGCCAAAATGGATTTATTTTAACAAGAAATAGCATATGTTTATTTACTTTAAGTGGGCAGAAAAAAGTGCCAATGACAGTGTGAAAACTTTAACTTTGAACCGATGTAGCTGGCATGGAATAATTTCGTTCTACGAGAAAAACAAAAGTTTTGCAAAGGCTTCCGAAAGATTTCGACAACAAACTGGTAAGTTTCCAGAAGTATGTTATTGAACTACAACAGCAAAAAAAATTATTTGCTGTCGCATATTGGAAATATAAGTGAAACTCCAGTAAAGTTTGATACAATAAGAAATAAAACAGTTGATGAGAAAGGGAAAAAAGGGGGGTCACAAAACATTTCACCTCACAGTAATACTTTCCTGCTTAGCGGATGATACAAAATTAAAACCCATAATTAATTTTAATGAAATGCCTTAAATTCATCTTTCATCTGATTTTGATTAAGAAAATTCTTGAAAAAAGTAAACTATTACAAAACTGCAACATTTGTTACTTTATTTTAATAGACAACTAAAAGAAAATTTACAGAAAAAGATCTAAATTTTGTGTTGATAAGATTACTAAATAATATTTTTAATTCTTTTTCTCACTCGTGTGAGCAAAACAGAACATATCAAAATTATAATACATTCTGCTATTGACATCGTTAAATCTTAAGGCCAGTGTGCTTTATTTCAAATTCAATCTCAATTGTGGCACTTTTTGTAATACAAATGAAAGAAAACAAAATTACTTATGGTATATAGTTCTTTTTATATAGTACTAGCAAGTACTATATATAGTTTTATATAGTACTCGTCTGGCTTTTAAATGTATCGAAAAAATGCCTGAAGGGAACACCAAACGTTAAATTTAAAAACTGTGCAGAATTTTTCTGCAGAACGACTTCATAATTTAAAAAATAAAAAATGCATTACATATAACAATGTTACAATGAAATAAGCAATATCCCTTAATACAAATATTAATTATCCTAATCCTAATAAATAAACCAACTTCCTGTTGCATTCTCTCAACAAACATCCAGTATCCAAGAGAAACATTAAATTTAAAAACTGCACAGAATTATTGCTCTCATTTTTCCAAGTGGTAACAGTGCTCATTTTCATGTCAGCAGTCCAGTATACAATTGAATGAAAAACTTGTCAAAACCACATTTCTATAAGAACGAAACTATTCAAAAATGATGCGATAAAATCAAAAAGATAAAATACAAAAAATCGCTTCAAGGTGCACTGGCTCTTGTCTAGATGCACCTAGATACCAAATTTCACAGCCCTGGGTCTATTAGCTTATGCGCAGCACAAATGAAAGACACACATATTCTTTCTTTTATTATATGTAGAGATACAGATTACACAAAATACTCTTCTTTATATATTTTACATGAGTTGTCACAAAAAAGCCTGTTAATCTTGAATAGCTAATGAAAATTGAACATCTTAGTTTAGATATTTAAGAAAAAGTCCCAGTAAAATTTAAATCATTTACAGATTTTTTTTATCAAGTTTGATTTTATCCTTGATCTTCCTGGCTGGAAAATAATCTTGTAATGTCAGGGGTGGATTAAAAGCTTCTGAAAAGTGTCATATCTGAATTTACAGGCACTACAATGCAATTGATGATAGAACTGCTTCTAAGTGAAATTCCATATGTATATTAGCCAAACACAACTGAAAAAATTGTTTTAATGAACAATGTATTACAGTTTGAAATAAAATGCATATTTTTTAAAGTTATTTTATTTTGACTTTCAGAACAATGAACATTCACCACTATTTATACAACAATGCACTTAAAATATTGATACATTAGAATCTTGAGACTAGTTTAAGTTAACGAACATTCATCTAAACTTTCTACATAAAAAATGAGTTTCTATCTTTCATTTCCATAGTACAAACACGTAACAAATCAAATCACACTAAAAACAATTCTAGATTAAATAAAATAAATTACTCTTATTCTTTAACCATAATGAAGTTGGTCTAACCTCCAGATAAGACATATACAGCATCAAGGCTGTTTGTTGCACACATACAACAAGGAATGATTTAAAGACTATACACAGTTCTTGAGTAACAAGTGGAGGAATTATCTGATATGTTAGTCTTTGAACTTGCGGTTAGGATTGGCGCCAAATAAAGTTTCACGTATTTCTGGTAGCAACTGTGGGGAGAGAAAGAAAAAGATATTTAATACTGTTTATAATACTGTTTAAAGCTTTCTGAAATATATATCTATATAGCTTCATAAAAGTACTTTTATAAAATATTTAAGGAAATATTTAACCTTTTAGATGCTGATAGATGAAGCAAAAGAACTAAATTCAAAGAGATGTTCTAACATGTACTTAAATTTTCAGTTTATTAAGGCTAATAAAGGTGAATGATTAAGCTCAAACTAAAGCATGTATGCATGCATTTTTTGTATATATGGCACTATGTACTTGGTAATGCAGTCTTACTGTGCTTGATACCTAAAAAGTTAATACAGTACAAGATTTGAAATAGTCAAGAATTGGGCACACCAGATTTTTAAATCATGAATGATTTTTATAGACCAGATTTTAGACTAAATCTAGTATGTAGATATTACAAATCAAAAATATGACATCACTGTTTGTTCTAAAAGAACTAATTATGATTTTAAAAGAACCAAAATTTATATACACACAAAAAAAAAAGTTTAATAAACATTTTTCAACACAAGCTGTTTAAGACTTTTTTTTTTGTTCTAATAATTCCTCCTTATTTTATAGAAAGACATAATTTCTTACAGTTACAAAATTTTACTACTCAAGTTCTCTGTAACTGAGGCATCAAGAATTTGCGCTAAATTAGCAAATGAAGTCTTTTCTCAAGAAAGCCACATTTCTCTATCAGTGGCAATTTTTTCTGAATTTAAGAACATATTATAAATTTAGCTACCATTCAGTTCACGGATGATTGGGACATAGCTACTGCATCTAAAAACTTCAGTTACATCATTTTCCTTTTGCATTTCTTCAGAAAAATTTTTACCTTTTATTTGTGATATCCAAAAATCTTCAAATTCCCTGACTACCATCACCATGAAGTATGATATGGGGCATAAATTATGCCAAGCATTTTTAAAAATATCTGCAGACATGTTCTTTCATGACATTGCTATGCTCAACAGTGCAGATTTTATACTGTCCTGCTCATCACATTTATTACTGTGAGTGGCTTGACATTTTGGATCTGCTTCTGAAGAACAATATTTAAACAGCACTTATTAGTTAAATTTCAATAGCTGATTATTTTAGTTTGTTTTTAACAAAATTCCTAAGATAATATTTAGATCTAAAGTATATAAGCAAACAAAAGATTTTAAATAATAAGGTAATTATGCACACATATCAAATGACAAAAAATCTTTTGAACTGATAAAGGTGGCCATGCCACAAGTTAAAGGATAGCCTGAAAACATATGGTCATTGATTAAAATTTTTAGTCACTGCCTAATAATGTAATTATGTTGGTTAAACACTGAAACTGAATGCATATGTAAAACTGAAAGTATATGTGATTATAATATATAGGTTAGCACATAAAATATGCAAATTAGGTGAATGACAACCATGTTATATAATACATGTTACGTACATGTATGTTCACATTTGGTCTGCATTATGGTTTAAAATTAAAGCAGTTTTTGAAAGTGATCAGTATTCATTAAATGTGACATAAAAAGCAAGAAGGCAGTTTGGTGGGCAATAATCACTAGTAGGTGGACCACCTGTCAAGCAGTAATCACCAGTAGGCAGACCACCTATTTGGAACTGAGATCCAACTATGAGCTTTTCACCCACAACTATAATACACTGAAGAGCCAAAACATTATGAGCATCTTACTCAACAGCACATTGCATGGCCTTTTGCCCAACAAAACAGCTGCAACTCATCTTGGCATGGATGGCACAAGTTCTTCGTAGATGACTGGAGGCAGATTGTACCAAATGTCTATGCAGCAGTCAATGCAAGTCAAGATATTCCTGACATGGTCTGCACTCTGAGCTGCCACTCCATGGCATCCCAAATGTGCTCTATCAGGTAAAAATTTGGCCAGTTAAGTGGCCAAGATATTAATTGGAATATATCCTAATGCTCCTCGAATTACTCGAACACAATACGAGCCTTGTGACATGAGGTGTTGTCCTGCTGGAAGATTCCATTTCTAGTTGGGAAGACAAGACGCCATGTAAGGGTGAAAATGATCCACAATTATGTTCAGATAGACTGTTCTACCACACCTGAGGGTCCCAGAGCCACCAATGAGAACACCTCCCAAAGCACAATACCGGCATCACCAGCCTGTGTGTGTCCTGCTATAGAGGGGAGCAACCGCTTGCCCGGAAGACGACGTACCCTGACACGACCATTGATATGATGAATGAGAAATCATGATTCATGCAACTGTCTTCCAATTATCCATGGTCCAGTCTCTATATTCCCATGTCCACTGTAGACATAGTGGACAGTGACACTTGGTCAACAGAGGTACATAAGCAGGACATCTGCTGCACAGACTCGCATCCAACAGTGTCCGCTGAACTGTGTGTTCTGAAACACTTGCACTTGGACCTGCATTGTATTGGGCTCTCAGCTGAGCTATTGTCTGGCACCGATTTTGCTGTACCAAGTGGGACAGTTTCCGATGACCTTTTTCTTCGATGATGTCAACAGCTTGGCATTTACTGCTGGTTTCACCATCATTTATCCACTTTGCATAAATACTAACAATGGCAAAATCATGAACAACCTACCAGTAGTGCAGTTTCAAAGATACTCATTCTGAGTCATAGGGCAATTACAATCGCTCCTCTATCAAATTCACTTAGATGAGCAGCTTTTCTCAACACTTCCAAAAGTATATGCAAGAATAATTCCTTACCTTGTCTAAGTAGCAGTTAAATACCATTCCCACTTAATCACGTGCCCTCCATGCCATTCAAATGAGTTCACTGAAAAATGTGAGAATGGTCATAAAGTTTTGGCTCATCAGTGTGTATGCCAGAGGTGGGGAAAATGCAGCCTCTGTGAGTTTCTTGAGTGGCCTCTAGCTCTTGTATTAATTAATATTTAATTATATAGATTATGACAGTTTGAAAATTAATAGAATTAAATAACTTGAGGATTTTGCATCAGCAATATCTTTATGTAAAAATAACCATTTTGCAAGGCACTCTGGATAGAAGTATTTTGATTGTCAACTATATTCGTGTAAATACAATGCATCATGAATTTTGGCAGATGCCAAATTTAGACAAGGAAACGTATAGTGTTGATGTACTGTACTACTGCAAGGTTTGCTGGCTATCAACAGGACAGGTTTTTGATAAAAGTTTTAACTTTACAAAGACAAATTTTAAACTTTTATCAAGAACAGGGAAAACTATGTGATCTATCAGATGAAGCATTTTGCAGAAACATTAGATTTTTGTCTCATATTATGACCAAACAAAACAATTTAAATATTTGACTGCAAGGTAAAATGAAGCATATATATGAAATGTGGTAAAATATACAAACTGCTCTCCTACTCGGACATATCTACAGAACACTTCCCGAAGTTAGTAAAAATGTAAAAATAAAAACATTCGATGAATATGTAGGTGTCTCGGATTTTTTAATAGAAGAACATACTGAAAGATTTTCAGATTTTGATGAACACACTGCTGCTATGAAACTGGCATCTGAACCTCATTTAGTAGATATATCCAAAGCTTCTATGGAACTACAAATGAGTTATTCGAGTTGCGGAAAGACAGTATCCTCAAATATCTTTTTGATGCTAAAAAGGATACCATAGAAAGCTGAAAAAATGCTGTTGAATATCCATGTCTACAAAAGCATGCACACCATTTATTTTCCTGCTTTGGAAGTATTTACTGCTGCAAGTCAACATTTTCTTTTGTGACAAAAATTAAATGCAGTTTAAGAATGAAAATTACAAATCCTCATTTAGAGATCTACTAGGGCTGCACATTACAAAGCTTGATCCAAATATTCAGTTATTTTCAGGCAAGAAACAAATGAAAATACTTCACTAAATTAAATTTTCCATCGGATTTTAAGATTATTTTACATACTATTGCTATGCTGGTTTCTTATAACTTAATATTATTACTTTTCTGCTATTTTTTCTTATAATGTAATAAATTTATTGAAAAATTCTTCTACTTTACTGTTTTTATTTAAAACAATATTTAAATACTACATGCAGTTGTTTATTAAAAATTATTAAAGATTAATTCTATAACAAGTTAAATTACCTTATGTGAATACAAAAATATTTTATATTGTAAACTTTTATTTTAATAAACGACTTTATGTGGTTTTACATTATTTCAATATAATGCAATAAAGTGATAAAACTATACTAAAACTACAAAAATTTCACAATAGTCGCATTTATAGGTATACCAACTTATGCGGCTTCCTTTATCACTACCTAATTTAAATGTGGCCTCTCATGGTAAAAAGGTTCCCCACCCCTGATATATGCTATTGGAGCTAGAATTACTGTGGCTGCTAGAACCATTCCTCTAAATGTTGCATAATCAAAATTTCGAGACTGAGAATTAGATGAAAATTTGAATTATGCAGAAAAATTCAGAAACATATTGCATCTAGAACTAATCTTTAAAACATTACAAATATGCGTGCAGAAAGCTGCCTAGGAATATTCTCAGAGCACAGTCTTAACTTTTCCACACTTACTAAAAGAGATAATAACAGGATATCGTTCACTGGTATTGTTTCTCATCCTTAACTCATATTCATTTTTAGAAAAAACAACATGTGATCATGAGTGGAAATGAATTTTTATATAAAACTTACATTATTCTGAAGTTAGTTTTTTGCATAATTTTGAATTAGCATGTTTCTTTTTCTTACAGATTAATATTATCTCTTGTTGGTTAAATATCTTACAATACATTTTTGACAGCATAAATTTGCCCACAACACCATTTCTGTTTTTATGGACACCATCAAAACAGCTGTTTGCTCAATTACATGTAAACTACTTAAAAAGTTCCCTATAAAATAACTGGTCTGGATTATTTAATAATAGCAAAACAGACTAGAAGCTTTCTGCCTTAAAGATATGATGCATGATAAAAAGAATCTTGCAAAATTTTTACAATATTCTAATGACTTTGTGCCCATGAAGGTAAAAATGCAATATTTCATACAAAAGTGCTTAATGGACTCTCATTATTATGCTTTTAATGGTTTAAGTCCATACGCACACAAATGCTCTACGTTTTATGTATTTACCAGACTTCAAAAGTCCTTATGTAAATATCTTTATGGCTTCCATTAAATTCAAATTTTCTATTTTCTCAATTAAGATAAAAGTGCCATTAGACACCAAGTGGTGAATTTTTGATTGTTTTAATGTATTAACTGTTTTTCTTCACTCACTATTGGTATTATATTTCAAATCTTCAAACTAAAAATAATTCATTTAAAATTTATATTAATACTACTATGGACATAAAATTCAATTTCTTGATGAATCGTTTTTGATACAATTACATGAATTTTATTTACTATACAATATTATCTTTAAAAAAGGATATGAGAAAAAAAGATATATAATATCTTTTTTTTAACATATCATTTTTTCAATCAAAAAATCACACTCTACATAATTACTGTATTTAATCAAAAGTACGATGTCTTGTAATTACTGATTTTAAAACAAACAGAAAATTATATAAAAATTGTAGTATATTTATCTGTGATTTTCTCTACTAGAATGTCAACATGTTTTTCATCAAATACTATTAATTAGAATGCAAAAATTTCAAAGAAAAAAGGTCTTACAATAACATATCTATGATAATTTATTTTTATAATTTATTTCTTGCCATATTTACAGAAATAATTTTTTTAATCAAATTTTACAATATTTTTTTTTTTTTACCACATTTTATGCAACTCTTATGCTTTTAAAAAATCTGAAGGAATACTTATTATTTTCTTATAATTATCAATCAAAGTCCAAAATATTCAACTAATTTAAATTTGATATGCTTAAACAGTACAAATATTTTTATTTACTTAACTATCCATGCATTCTACTCTTTAATATTTCACCAAAGACCTAGACCTTCTTAATATTATTTTATGCTCTAAACTTTAAAACTGTCAGTTTATAATTGAAAAACACAAAACAATAGTATTAAACAGTTAAGTACTAAATAAGTATTAAAATAATTCTGAATTTTTAAAAGCCAAAACTGGTAGAAGAGCAATATTATTTCTATACATACATAAATAATTAATATATTATATAGTTATTTATATTCAAATAATCCTTATTTATTTTTCTATACTTGAAAAATGCATGACTTGGATCAGCAGGCACGATGCAAGTCATCATTTTGTGAGTTTCAGAAAGTAGGGGAGGAGGAAAATAATTATCATGAATGATGAAAGGGGTGCAAGGTCCAAAAAGGTTGAGAATCACTGCTCTATAGGCTGAGCACAGCAAATACTGGATGATAAAAGAAATGATAAGAACAGGAACTTTTTACAATTTTTTTCATTCTTTATGTTCAGTCTGTATCCAATCATTGTAAATTAAGGTATCAGTACAATAAAATTTTTGCTTTAATCAAATAAACTATACTGTTCTAAATTAAACTTTACTCCTATCTAATAATTTTTCAAAATATTTTCATCCACAGATTGCTTTGATTTTTTGTACTTGTCATTTACGTAAATTAAGCATTAATATTTACAAAGTGCTATATAATTATTACAAAATATTTTCAAAAATACTTAGAACTTATTAAATAGAAATAAGCAGTTGGATGCAATGCTAGTCATAGTAATTAACATTTTTCATAGTAAATTAAAGCACTAACACACCAATTAGCACTTTAGCCACTGAATGATTCCAATGTTGTGTTATAAGGTATTTTCTCTCTCCTTTCTGCATGCCTTCATGGTGTAACAATAGCACACTTGGCCCGTATTCAAGAGGCCCATATTTCACATCTCCAGCATCAAAACAACCTAATGATTCTACAGTGGAATCTGAACTAAAAGGTGGTGGATGATGATTCTTCACAACCAGAATTTGACGATGGGGTCCCCTAATCCCCCAGTCGCACTTTAAAAGGGAGACTATATACGGTATTTTCTTCCTCCTTTCTGCATGTCTTCATGGTGTAACAGTAGTACACTTAGCATGTGTGCGAGAGGTCCAGGTTCGAGTCCCGGCAAGGACATTGCTAATTTTTCACCTCTCCAGCATTAAAATAACCTCATGACTCTACAGTGTTACTGTTATAACAAAGAATTTGTAACGTGAAATTTCTATAATAATAAATGATTATTACTATTCCAACTTCCAAACATTTGTAACAGAAACTATACATATGATGGTAAAATAAGAATGCTACAAATTTTGTCTTAAAATGAAAACATTTCATACCTGTTGACTAATCATATCTAGTCTACTTTCAAGAGTATTGTTTATTTTTATTTTCCCCTTCTGTGCTGTCAGTTCAATTCCACCAGCACTGTAAGAAATTTTTAAAATAATTCTTAGGTTAAATATTTAATCAGACAATAAAATATGCCGCATACTGTTTTATTTTTAATACCAACATACAGAAAAAGAATACAGAATTACATCTACAATAAACTAAGAATTAACTGTTTCAAAAATCAATCAATCAATAATAAGGTATTGTTATAATATAAAAATTGCTATACCTGATGCATTTCAAATGTATGAATACTGCAGTGATTTTTATGCAAACCCAACATTTTAAATACTATACAGCACATTTCTACATTCATGGGATAGAGTTTAAGAGGTGCAAATCAAAATGTATATTCTCAATACAATATGGTTGAAATTAAATGTGGAAAAGGCTAGACAGCACTTGCTGTTTTATTATAAATGAAGTTCTGGGGGTAAAAAAATTCAGATTTCTCTTGCAATAGATCAAGTTATGAATGCCAGACATGAAACTTATGCATGCAGCTGTGAACTGCAAAAGATGTGCAACACAACATTTAATGCCATGAATGAGCTGTGTAATGAACATCTGCATCATTAGCTGCATAAAACAGGAACATTTGATTAAGGAGTTCCCAATGACAAAATCAGCAGTTTTTACATTAAGTTATATATATATATATAAATATTATTGACCAAGGTCATACAAACGTAATACTGAACTGTGCAAGTCTAATGTAATCCCAATAAATCATCAACATAATTATATCAATCATAATTTACATATATGTAAGAAAAATAAGAATATGTGAAAGATCAAATTAGCAGCTTAAATTCCCTTCTGTATTCTTAAAATATTACCCTTTCTCTGCACGTCATTTCTAGATTAATCCATGTCATATGACTCTTACGTAATTCTGATGATGTAAATGGAAATAAAAACTCAAGCAGCCAATAGTAATTTTATAGCAGTATTAACTATCCAATCAAAATGCATTGAGAGCCAAAACTAACTCAGTCTGAATTAAGATTTCATCCTGAACATAACGCACTTTCTTCCTATGCTTTGGATTAGCTGGACTGCTGCCTATCTGCTCCTTTTTTCTTATTGCAAATTTACCTAAAATGTAATATAGGACAGGCACATTTAATGTGCCAACTTGATTGTGGCCGCAACATGTTTGTTGAAATAAAAAATGAAGATTTAATCTGCCTTCATTTCCAATTTCCTATTCAGTATGGATCAACATTTCTATGTCATCAAAATTCTGCTCATCATTACTTCTAAGTTTATTTTTATCAAATATATATATACACATTGAAGAGCCATTACATTATGACCCCCCAATCTATAACAATGGGCTCGCCCAGGAACAAAACCACTGCACGTGCACAGCTGATGTTGGGAGTACATAAAGCAGCTATGCATTGTCTTTCCAAACATAATGCGATTAGTGACAAAATGGGAAAAGCAGCTGATTTATCAGACTTTGAAAAAGGTCAGATTGTTATGGCTCAGCAACTGGGAACATCAATATCAGAAACAGCATGTGTAGTACGCTGTTCACATGCAGTTATCCTGAGCACATACTGAAAGTAGTGTATGGATGGTGAAACGACAAGTCACTGGCCAGCATTGTGTCATCAATGGCACATTAATTCCAGAGGAGAGCAGAGATTGCTACACATTGTTCACCATGACCAAAGAGCTACAAAAGCTGAAATCACCACCAACTGCAACAGTGGCGACCCAGACAGTGTTTCTCAACATACTGTGACCATTGCTGTTTTATTTTTAATACCAACATATGCAGCTTATGCAGCCAGAGGCCGAAGCCTGTTCCTGCACTAATGGTATGCCATCACCAGCTGTATCTGCAATGGGCCAAGAAACATTGGAAATGGACATTAGAAACCTTGGCTCCCAGACGTACAGATGGACGGAGATAAACTAGTGGCGAGGATATTATGGTGTGGGCAATGTTTTCATGGAGTACATTAGGACTCATAATTCCCATAGAATAATTCCTGATGTTTGAGTGCTAGATGAACATCATTGCAGACCAGCTTCACCCATTCATGACAACAGCATTTCTGGTGGGGAATGATGTTTACTAACAGGATAATGCATTATGTCATAAGGGTCGAATCGTCACGGAGTGGTTCGAGGAACGTTTCAGTGACTTTCAAGTCATGTCTCCAAATTCATCTGACATTAATCCAATAGAACATCTGTAGTCCCACCTAGAAACCAAATTCGTGCTGCCATGCTACCCCCTCAGAATGCATGGGAATTGAAAGACCAGTTGGCGAGCGCTTGGGTACTAGATATCTCAGACTACCTATCATTGGAGTCAATGCCACGCTGGGTGCTGGCACTTTTGAGGGCTAAAGGTGGTCCTACATGTTATTAACAGCGTGGGGATAATGTAATGGCCCTTTGGTGTATATATATGTAAAACATTTTAACACGGCTGTGGAGTTAGTAGAAAAAATTACTGACTCCAGCTCTTGGAATTTTTAAAGACCTCATATATACCTCATATATGTGTAAACATATACACATGTGTTACAGTTTATTTTTTTTTAATATAAAAGAATAGACGCAGCAGGGAAAAAAAATAAAAAATGATGACATAGCAGATTATTTACACTAATTGACATTTATTATGAAATGGAAAAACTGGCATTATAATTTCTAAGAAACAGTATAGCTTTGGCAAGATCTTTTTTGTTAGAGGACCGTAGATCTGATTTGATAAACTTAAGAGCTGAGAATAGTCTAACTTTTCAAGATACATTTGTATAAGTTCTAAAAGAGGTGTCTTGCATGAGATATCATATTTCTCTATTTCTTCAAGAGCTGTGTAGAAATCTTGCTTGTATTTTTTTTTTTTTTTTTTCAATTTTATATCTAAAGTCTCTTGTTTTTTTATTTTCATTCGCTTTGCCTCAGCCTTTTCAATATTATTCAAATATTTCTAAAAATCTAATTCACCAATGGAAGAGATTGATAGAGACTCAGCTGCAATGCCCGCAGTCTAACTTGTCTTGATTTGAATACTCCAGTTGTTCTGAGAATTATTCCATTTGTCTTTTTAATTTGTTCATTAGCCAACAAAATTCAGTGTTTCGAACCTACATATATTGAACCCAGCAAAATTTCATTGTTTAGCACACAAGTTTCCCTTTTCTTCATTGAGGAAATGATTCCTTCTGCAATAAGCCATCCCATTTTAGAAAGAATAAACATCACATTTTTTCATTCTTGCAGAAACAAGCTTCCTGTTAATTCTTCAGACTGTAGCTTTTTTATGACAATATACAGTGTAGAAAGAAGAGTTTCCAATTCAGCAAGATCATTTCACAGTCTTGCTGTTAGTGAAACAACAGGATTACCTACATTTTCTAAAAAGTTCTTAATTCTAACAACCTCTTTATAATGAAATATGTACTTTCCCACGTGTTGCTTGCTAAACAATTGCTCCTTTTCTTGCTTGCCTCCTAAGAATGCCATCAGTTTTGGGAGTCCTTGCTGCTATTGCTACTTGCCTAAATTTAACAATGAAATTTGTAGCATTTGCAGCCATGGGCTCCTTTTTCTTGCTACAATAATATCCTCCATGAGCTGAAGAAGTAACTAAATGAATCAGTTTAATGAATAATGGCAAATAAAACATCCATCCTCCTAACTTATATTTATTTATTAATATGTCAATCAAATGGAAAATAACTAAATATTATTAATGTACATATTGAATAAATAAAAATAACAACTCAATTTGTCATTATTTTTTTTTCATTTCACTTTAATTTTAAATTGAAACTGTCTAACAAAAACTGGATTGGAGTCAACATGTTTTAGCAACTCCAGCTCTGACCCCTTTTACTCCAAAATCGGCCTGACTCTGACACCACAGTCCTGCATTTTAATGCATTAAATGAAAAATCTATGAGCTTTTCAGCAAACATTTTACATCAAAATTTGAAAAATATATTAATTGATGTTATTTAGAACATAATACCAGTTCTGTAGCTAAACAGCAAAATACTGGTTTTGTACCTAAACAGCAACGCTTAAAAAGTTTTAATGCTACTATTTTCTAATTTTAAGTTTTGCGTTGCTTCACGATAAGCATTGTTTCACTTTTCAAATTGTTGCCACAAAAAATTATTGCCCTGTATTATAATTAAAGAAATTAAATAATAAAGAATCTGCATGAATGTATGTTTCTCGCATTGTGATAAAACAACGGTACTTAAGAGCCATCAAAATTTGAATAACATAATTTTCCATAGAATATGGGCACGTGAAAGCCCTAATTTGGAATTTGTGTTTGTTTTATTATCAATTTCCTTTTTTGTAACACTTTAACGATAACGATTTCAAAGCGAGCAATTGCAACACTACGAAAAAAATATATATCCAGCATACGAGACTCTGTATCAGAAATTCTAAAGATATGCTCTTTGTAAAATTATTTTGCGATATTGCTGCTGAAATGAATTTTATGGTTTGAGTGTGAAGAACATGATATTTAATAAAGGTAACACACAAAGCATTAAAAAAAAATGCTCCTTTGGACGTAGTTTAAAATCTGAACCCTTTCAGATTATTTTATTTTCATTAAAACTCAAAATGTTGATTAGTAGCAGATAAAAAATGAATCCGAAAAGTTACAAGCATATTCAGTTAATATAACATAATAATTTACTTGCCAGTCAGGAGGTAAGTAACTTTCTTTATCAATTGTTATTTTGCAAGGTTTACCAACTTTCTCTTGATACTCTTTGGCTATTTCTCCTAATGATCGCTCTACCAAATCTGCATCTTGTTTTCGGCACTTCACTGTTACCTCAGATTCTAACAGCTGATATATTGACTAGAAAATAGAAAGATTTAATAAATATAATAATCATTATAGAATAAGCCTCGGTAGCACAGTAGGCAGCACGTCAGTCTCATAATCATAATAAAATAAGTTTAAAATCAATATAAACAATTATGTTTTAATTATAATTATAATTAAAAAATAAATTCATAATTCTTACATTGTAACTATTTCAATCAAATATAAAACATAAAATTATAGGTATTAACTAAAACGACTTTTAACATTTTGCAAATTTATTTTCTCTACCAAAAAGAAATGAATTATCCACAACTATTTAAATTCTTATTCATATGTCTGCTAAAATTTACTATCAGGTCTATAAATTTGAACCAGGTCATATTAAATGAAAATAAGTAAATAAATAATAAATAAAATAAAGTTTTTAATAAAATACACTTATATTATCCATAAAGGAATTCATGAACTAAAAGGAGAAAAATAATTCATCATATAATTTAATGGGAAAACGAGATGGTGCAAAACAGTACATCGCCAAAATAGATTTGTAGCAACCAATAATGTTGTCAAAATATATTTACGAGGCAACCCAAGTATGCACATAGCCCATGCCTGTTTGGCAGGTTTTTCAATGCTGAAGCTGTATGAATGCTGATTTCATGCAATTTTCTGATGTTTTTTAAAGCAAAAATAAATCATTGCATATACGGGGAGAACAACATAGAAAAAATGAAGGGGGGTGTTAGAAAAGGTGAGTGATTTTTCTTGCTTTTTAAATGTTACTGATTATTTAATTGTATGAAATTCTTAACATGACTTCATTTTGAAATTGGCTGCTGCCTTTAATGAATTAGCAATAAATTACTTGTCAACGAATCTAGAACAATTTTGTAGAAGCATAGATAATTAGAAAGTACCGAAAATTTATAAAAGAAGTTTTTGATTATGATTAAATAAAAATTACAAATTATATTTACCTGAAGTATCAGATTCTTCAAAACTTGTTGATAACGTGCAGTATCTTTGGTTTTTGTGTGTAACTGCTTCCTAGCTTCATCAAGTACAACCTGTAATTCAAAAAAGAAATAAATTAAAAAAAAAAAAAAAAATTTGATGAGGAGGTGATTACAAAGTTACTCCTCAACAATGGGAATTTGAACTGCATGGCTGCACTTACATGTGGATTTTTTTTACAAATATGTAACACAATTTTTTTATTACATGTAAAAAATTGAAGTATTTTTAGCCTTACTGCACAGTTTACACAGGAAAAATTACAAAACTTTAACATGCTTGTATAAAAAATCAATATGTATTAGATATCAATATATCGCTTACTACCTACCATAAAATATCTAACATAACTGACAATTTCAAAATATTAAAAACCAGGAAGTTTTTCACACTGCACGACCACTTTATTTCAAAGGAATTCCAAACTAATTGTAATTTTTTGTAACTCAATTCCGATATAAAATATATTAGCATTTAATTAGATATTCTAAATTTGATGTTCTTTGGGTAATTTCATTTTTTAATTTTCTTGCACATTTTATACCAAGAAAATCCTGAAAAGCAAGGGAAAGCTTTTATTTATCAAAATACTTTTAAACAGATGAAAATTAAACTAATAATTTACGTACATAGTATTTTGTGTCACAAAACTTAGCAATAAACTTTATATACTGAAATAAACAAAATCAATAATTAACTGATTATACATTGTTTGAATTTTTATATAAAAATGTCTAGTTACTTTTAGTAATTTGTAGTCCTTTAAATGTCTACAGTAGATTAAGACGACTGAGATCAAATGAAATTTAAAGGAAAATTATTATTATTCCCCTTACTATTGTGTCGACTTAACATATGCATAAATTATGCTTTGTATTTCGTACGCATGCTTAACATATAAGCTATAAAATGCATTGTTAATTGCCATTTTTTATCTCAATTAATATGCATTTTATTATGTTAATGTTCAAACAGTTTTTATAATTTTTACAGATTGTGAACACTAAGTTTTGGGAAAAACTAAAAATCATTCAAGGATTGAAAAAAGTATAATTAGCACACAATACCACACTAAAAAATTAAAAATAAATTTCGCTGATAAAAGTATTTGAAAGTTTATTCTAATACTCCTCATACCATAGAAAAGTTACATATAATGTATATGTACACATATCATATGTGTGTGCACGCGTAAGATTCAAAATATGTAAATCAGCTTTATAAAATACATCAGTGTAGGTTACATGGCTTAAGTTATGTTGATGTAGCTAATTCAGAGCTTGAATTCAAAATTTTGAAAATTGAAATCTTTCTAACCTAAACCAAAACCTTGTCTTGGTGAGCTTCTATATTAGATAACTGCGTACTTTAGCTTCTACCTCTTTTGCTGTAAAGATGTTATTTCACTGTACTCTTCCTACTGTAATACAGTACAAAGTCTGACATTCGGACTCGTCGGGACTTTGGCGATTCCGATTATTAGATCATCAATTTAAATCTGGTAAGGTGGCATGCAAAAATTATATAATTAAAAATATGAAATCATAATTTATGAAATAAAGAACAATTATGATCAAAATTTACAAAAAAAGTTTAATATTTATTTGTTTATTTTATTAAACATTTCTTTCAATATAAGTTGTTCAAGTTGCTTCCACAAAAAATTCAAAAAGACATTTCAATAACAATATCCAAATGATAGCATTAGCCATGATAACATTAAGCAGCATCTACTGTGCATGAATATTAATAATAAAGATGATTTGTAATTCTTAGCAACCAAGCTTCTTCAGTCAAGTAATAAACAAGCAAAACAAAAGAAAAAAACTGCAATAAGTACAATAAACTTATTGGGATGATCTTTACTGTACGGTACCCATTGGTTTATGTCTGAATAAATCGCCAAGTGGTATTGGTTGTTCATGAAATCTTGAAGCCCGCTATGTGAAATAGGTTTTTTGGTAACCCCTGACTGATAATGTTGGCGAAACTAGCCTTGGGGAAAATTGTGTTTTTAGTTCTTTCATTAAAAAGGGATTATTTTTGCGAATATCAGCAAACGTGTTGTGATAAATTTAGATTTTGGATATTTTTTGTAATAGTAACCATTTTATATGGATTCGGGTTTCGTTTTCAGTTGCTGTGTTTGCTTGGACATGCGTGGTATGGTCTTGGATTCTGAACTTGCTATTATTTTGCTGTGGGTACCATCATTTGAGTATGTCTGAGGTAAGTAAGAGGATGAATGCTGATTAACAGTGGATAAGCTGAAGGTGACCAAAAATTTAATTGAATTGCTTACATGGAGGATGGAGGAGATGGTGAAGGGAAGCATGAATGTATGGAAATGAAAAAAAAAAAAAGGTATGTTAAAAAATTCATGTTTATTTATTCGTCTCTGTGTATTAATTTTTGTTAAAAGCTTTGTTGTTTAATGTTAGGAAATATGCAGTTCTGGTTATTTGTTCGTCTCTGTGTGTTAAGAATTTTTTTCTGGTTAACATGATAGTTTTAACTTTGTTTTAGCTTCCTTTGTTCAAGTTAAAATAGGTCGATGTGTATATGGACAAAGTTAAGGTAGTGTTTAATGCCTAGTTTGTGCAATTCTCTGATTTTAAAGTTAAAATAGGTTGATGTATACATGGACACTGAGTTTGTGTAAGTCTTTGACTTCTTGTTTTGGTTTTGTGCAGCAGTGAAAGGTGCCAATCTTGGTGTCAAAAAAGAGAGGGTTTGCCAAGGGATACCGTAGAGTAAATTTTAACCACTTATTGTTATCAATTTGAAAATGCTGCACACTAGTCATTAACATTAGGGAAGGATTGTAGTTTGCCTTAATCTATGCATAAAGTTGATTTATACAAGCCATATTTTCTGTAGTGTGGTTTTCTAAAAATAAATCACTTGTATCTTATATCCACAGAAAACATTAAAAAAAGAGAAAAGGCTTTTTTTATCTACTGATACTTGAAAATTTGATTCCTTATTAACTAGTAAACCTTAATGTTTGTAAAAGCATGCAAGATACCAGAAATCATTAGCCAAACGACATTTGCTGTATAAATAATAATTAAAAAATATATGTATAAAAACTTACTTTAATATGATCTTCTTGAGTTTTCAAAACTTTAAGCCTAGCTTGGTTAAGCATATTTGAACTCTGACTGAAATTAAAATAAAAATTGAGGGAAAATCTATAATATATATCGAATAATTTTTCACTTTGAGGAGGAAGACGAACTTACATCTTCCTTTGTAATTCCACTTGTTTTTCTTTTTTTTCAAAATACTCAATAATTTTCAACCTTTGTTCCTGTACTAGTCTGCCCTTTTCAAGATTAAATTCTTCCTCAGCCTATAAAACAATATTTATACAATTAAAAAAAAAAATGTAAGGAAGACAAATTTTCATTTCAGTAATAATTTTTATTTAAAATAATTTTTAATTAATAATTTTTACATTATAATTATTGATAATGATTGCTACAGTTGTAGGTTAGGTTTAAATTGAATTAATTTAAAATACTTTCCCTGAAATTGTGGAAAATTTTTTTTCCTATATAATCTTTGCTATAATAAGCTTCTCAAACACTTAAGATTAATTTGTTTACAGTATAGAAAGCCACATGTTGCTACAGTTTACCATTCAATATTGTCTCTTAATCACATATATATGTGGGAATGGCAAAACAGCTCCTGCTGTCCAGTGCTTCTTCTAGACTGCTAAACCATCCGAGCAATCAGGCAGCTGGCCGTTATAAATTAAGGAAAGAATACATCTTCTGGAGCTAATGCATACTAATATTACAGATGTACAGTAATCAACTATGGTAGGATTTGATGAAAAATATATGCTTCCGAAGTTATTTACATTTTAAATGACAGCTGGCAAGAAGTGAATTTGAACTATTTCTGAATTACTGAAACTGGCAATTTTTTTAAACTGTACATACTCTCAAACATGTTTTTATGGACTTTTTTTTGTATACAGTTTTTTATGTAGTATATTAAATAAAGTCCATCAAAATACACAATCACTTTTTTTTACTGTACATACTCTCAATTTTTTTAAACTGTACATACTCTCAAACATGTTTTTATGTAGTATATTAAATAAAGTCCATCAAAATACATAATATGAATAAAAAGAAAACAGCAGATGGCTGATAGTGTCAAAATAACGTGATTTAAAAACAAATCAACAGACGGTCCACCCAATATTACATCATATTAAAAATCAATTACCAATTCTCAAAGAACTTTAAAATTCCAGAATGAGCCTCAAACCAGTGTTTCTGGTTACTGCGACATATATAAACAGCTAACCAGACAACAATTATAAAAACTGATGATCTAGTACATTGTATCACCAAACATGACAACTCTGAAACAGAGTGAGGTAGCATCTTCAAATGATGAAACTGATTTTGAACCAGTTATCCATAAAAAAATCCATGTTCTTGACTGTAAAGAATAATTTTCATATGTACATTTAGGAGTTTTTGCATACGTAATATTTAATGTATAAAGAAATAAAGCATTTAAAAGTGTTTCTGTGCAAAACTTTTTGCTTTGTTTGGAACACCAATTTATAGCTAAATTGTGAGGTTCTGAGTTATTTTCTATGTCAAACTTTTTTTTACATGATCCCTATTTACTGCATAATTTTTTGGTACTCTTCTGTTATTGGGACCAGGTTCAGAGATGTAAGTATGCATGTGCATATATGTGTGTATGGATACACACATACAAATATACATGCATACATACATTTCTGAATCCGGTGCCGAAATGTGTAACAAACAATGCCTTTTAAACTATTTAGGAAGTTTCAGATACTACTTAGGAATGCATCTCCTTTTATATGGTTTCTATTTATTTATTTATCACCAGTGAGCAGGCTTCTGACCTCTAAACAGAAAACTACCAGCTCAGCGGGAGATTAAGTACAATCCACAGCCACCACCCCCACAAAGGTAGGGCTGTACTTTTTTTTTATTTTTAACAAAGCCAAAGAGTACATATGATAGCAGTATTTCATAAACAAAGACAACTTGCATTCATATGCTACATATAAGTCAGAGTTATAAGTTAGTACTTAGTATAATAAAAACAAAGTTGCTGATTAAATTTTACATATACCGCAAAGGCTCTTATTTTCGCGAAAATGAATATATCGGTGATTTCGCGAATTTTATATGAACAGAACCAAAAGTTGAAAAATTTCAAAAGTGCCTAAGTAAAGTTGAGAAAGTTGAAAAATTCTAAAAGTACATCTTTTGTATAAAGCATTTTAAGTTATTTGCGAAAAGTTCATCTCCCCTCCCCCATTGCTCTTAAAACAACCCACGGTGCTTATCAACTTTGACCTTGGCTCAACATGCGCATTCCCCTCCCCCTTTTGAACCGAAAATGTTATCACCCCATCCTTTCGCTTTTCTCGGAATTGGATCGTCCATGCCCAACACCTGCTTGAACAAGTTGTTTCTACCAGGAGCTCCACAACGGAGGAATACGTCGGCAAGTTGGCTTTCGGCAAATGTTCTGACGAGACGAGAGATAGAAGCGGTGAGTGCAAGATAGAAAATTGAGAAGAGAATGTGTTATTAGTGCCGTAAATAAAATGTGGAAATATTTGTACAAGGGAGAGAAAATTCTTATAGGAGCTCCAGCGCCAGCAGGGCTTCTGGATACAAGGAACGTTAAGTCGTTTGTTGAATCAAAAGAAATAATATCTGCAAATACTGAGGTTTCTACTGCTTTGAAAGCAAAACGTGGGCAGTATGTAGTATATGACAAAATGCTGAGGTCCAAAATGGGCCGATATGCTACTATGTACGGAAATTCTGCAGCAGTGAAACATTTCACCTCTGAACTGGGAAGGCAGGTGAGTGACTCAACCATTCGCAGCATAAAGAAACGGTACATTCAAGCATCTAAAATAAGCTACAGCCAATGTAACAACTTTACTGCACGGTAATCGTGGTTGCCCCTTAAAACTTTGCAATTTCGATGCAAGCATTCAAACATATACAGTCAAAAGTCGTTAATCCGGACTCGTCGGGACTTCGGCGATTCCGGATTATCGATTTTTCCGGATTATAGATCATCAGTTTAAATCTTGTAAGATGGCATGCAGAAATTCTAAAATTAGAAATATGAAACCGTAATTTATGAAATAAAGAACAATTATGATCTAAAGGGTATTAAAAGTTGCAAAAAGAAAAAGCTTAATACTTATTTGTTTACTTTATTAAACATTTCTTTCACTGTAAGTTGTTTAAGTTTTGCTTCGTTTCATGTGATAATACTTTCTCTACAGACATAATTTCCTGTTTAGTTACAAAGTTCCGCTGTTCAAGTCCTATAATTGCTGTGTCAAGAACACCGACTAATTTGTCAATCGAAATTTTTTCGTTTTCAATAACCTCTGTCACTTTTCTTCGCTATCGGAAGCGAATTATAATGACGAGGAACTTGTTTTAAATCATATCAAAGACGGAGCATATCGAGATGAAATACTACATTTGGTAAGGAATTATAAGCCAAATAAAATAAAAACATCTGCGCTGAAGATAAGGATAGTGCTGACAGATCAACTTCCAATTCATTACGCGCCCGCTACGGCTACCCCCCCCCGCCGAGCAGCATGAAATTGATAAACAGATTTCGGATTTCAAAACATACTTTCGCTTTAGATCCTTTACATATTAACAAGTATATATTGGAAATTCTATTTGATATAATCGAAAGTTTAAGCTTAGTTTTTTCGAAAATTAAGGAACAACGCAATCATCAACATTAACTGAAATATATAATTAGATAATTTTAGCTTATACATTCATTATACATAAAATGCGCACGTGAAAACGTATTCTGCACTTGCGCACACTCATATGCGCAGTCGTAAAAGGTCTTACGCGCACGCGTAAACGCCTATGCGCATGTGTCAACGCGGCGCATGCGCAGAAAGTTTTTAGTTTTGAGGTCCGGATTATAGATCATTCCGAATTATGAGTGTCCGAATTAACGACTTTTGACTGTATACGTAAATTGCGGATTGCTGGTGTAATAGTGAACCACACTTGTTATTGCAGCTGCAAAAGGAATTGCGAAATCACCTGATCCATCTCTACTAACTGAACCCAAGATGGGCCAGAAGCCTGCTGGAAAGAATGAACTTTTTCTGTAGAAAAGGAACCAAGGCTGCATGAAAACTGCCCCCAGACTTCCCAGCTATTTGCGACGAATTTGTTAAACGTGTTCGTACAATGATCGACAAAAATGTTTTTACCCCTGAGATGTTCGTTAACTTTAATCAGAGAAATGCAAAGTTTGTGCCTACATCTAATTACACATTGGAAGAACGTGGTTCAAAACAAGTGTCTGTAATTGGCATGGAAGATAAAAGAGAGATGACTGTTTTGTTAGCATGTTCCCTTGCTGGAAACCCACTTCCACCACAATTGTTGTTCGCTAGAAAAACAACAAATTGTCATCCAAACTTTACATGTCCTGCAGTCTGGGACGTGTGGCACACTGATTCGCACTGGAGTAATACTGACACAATGATTCGATACATCGAGAATATTCTTGTACCTTATTACGACAAGCAGAGAGAACTTCTCGGGCTAGTTCCAGAACAACCTGGTATAAGGATTGTTCGACGTTTTTAAGGCACACCAAGATCCTCTTCTTCTGACTGAACTAGAGAAGAGGAATATTATTCTAAATTTTGTTCCTGCTTCCTGCACAGGAGAGCTCCAACCTTTGGACTTAACTGCAAATGGCGAGTTCAAGCGTTTGCTCAAGAATGAGTTTATTGAGTGGTATTCTTATGAGCTTCACTTTCTAGACAAAAAAGAATTTGTGGACTTGCAAATATCATGACTAAAACTGATTCACGCGTTTTGGCTTGTGCGCGTATTTAAAAGTATTGAAGCCAAACATGAGATAATTTTGAATGGTTTCAAAGAAGCTGGTATAAATAGTATTCTAAAAGAATGAGCTGCCTTCTATTAATTTTATTGTTTTATATTCGAGAAATATAGTTGTATATTATTCAAAAAATAGTTAAAAGAAAGTTGTCAAGAAAAAGCTTGTAACTGTGCAATAAATAATTAAATGGTGCTACTTTGGTAGACGGCTGCATGGATTTTGGCAAATTTTTTTTTTTTTTTTTTGGCGAGAGATAGTACTTATGGTAAACGAATTGCTAGACAAGTTATTTATGGTAACCAATACTTTGTGGCCAGTTTATTTAAAAAATAATGAGTTTTATTATGCATAAATTCCATGTTTTAAATATTATTTATGGCTTCTAAATATTAAAAATCAATTTAATTTTCCATTTTT